AGCGTAGGTCACTGATCGGCAGACAGAATCACAGGGGCGAGACGAGAGGGAAAAATCCAGGAAAACAGGCAAAGATCAGAAACCGAGAGAACAGGCAAGGCAAGGCAAAACAAGGAAACACAGAGACTCGGAACGAGGTACAGGCTAAACAATACTCAGCGGAGAATGGTTGTTTGAGTGGGTGTTATATAGTGAGTGAGTGATATGAAACAGCTGTGTGCAATCAGTGCAATCAGTGCAGTGTGTAATCAGTGCAATGAATGACGGGATATGTAGTCCGGGGTGCTATGCAACAGTTTGTGTTGTGCGAGAGTCAATGTAATGGAAAGGGTGACCTCTGGTGGTGAATGAACGGAAGTCCATGGACAGGATTCGTGACAATGAGTAGGAAGCAAAATTATGTAAAATAAAGTATTTTGAAAGAATATATACAACTTGCACACCAAAAGTTTAAGATTGTTTTAATGTTTCTGAAAGAAGTCTCGTCTGCTCACCAAGATTACATGTATTTGAAAAATGCAATAAAACGGTAATATTGAGAAATATTTTAATTTAAAAGAACTGTTGTTAGTTTTAATATATTTTAAAATGTATTGTATTCAAAGCTGAATTTTCAGCATCATTACTCCAGTCTTCAGTGTCACATGATCCTTCAGAAATCATTCTGATATGCTGATTTGCTGCTTAAAAACTTTTGTTATTATTATTTATTTTTACAGTGTTGAAAACATTATGCTGCTTAATATTTTAAACACTACCATACCATTCAAAGGTTTGGCGTAGGTCTTTTAAAATGCAAAAGGTTTCCATTTCAAATAAATGGTGTTCTTTCGAACTTTCCATTCATCAAAGAATCCTGAAAAAAAAATGTTTCCACTGAAATATGAAGCAGCACAACGGTTTTCAACATTGATAATAATCAGAAATGTTTCTTGAGCATCAAATCATCATATTAGAACGATTTCTGACGGTTCATGTGACACTGAATACTGGATGATGCTTACATTTTTTTTAAATATATTTAAAAATAAAATAAAAGTTTTAAATCTTTTTAGTTTTAAATATTAATAATTATATATAGTTATTATGACTGATAGTGTATATACTGTAAATAATTACCTGGTTTTGAGAAAATATTACGTTTATTTTTCTTGTTTTAACCTCTTAAGACCCAAGAAAAGATTTTTAGGGGGAAAAAAATAATTTAATGTCTTTACATTGTTTAGAGCATTAAAAAATGATATTTCGTTCATAAGTTATGCTATGTCCTCGGTAGAGGACATCGGGACTCTTTTTTTTTTTTAATAAAAAAACATGAATGAACATGCATAGGCAAAAACAATAGATTTT